CCTTGACAACGATTGCGACGGCGGCCAGGCACGGAAGGGACAGAAGGGGCAACGATTGTTGCCAGACGAGTCCTTCTCGACTGCTGTCGTGCTGAAGGCTTTCACTTCGGCTTCCAGTGAGCGGAGCAGGTCATCGCCCACCTTCGTCGTGCCATCCTCCCACTCCTCTCCCTCGCTGTTGGACGACTGGGTCGACTCAGAGTCTGCTGACGCAAGACCTGCATCTACATCCACGACGAACTCTGCATCGTTGGCGCCAGCCTGAAGCTCTAGCAAAGCGGCGCGTTCCTCGTCGGTCAGTGTGACGGATGTGCCACTTTCGGGAGACCCTTTAACGTAGACTGAAACGATATACTTGAAGTCCACTGCGGAAGTCAGGAGTTCTTTGAAGGCCGGAACATTTAAACGCCAGCTTGACCTTGGCGCACTGACATGTTCATACCACGCACTTACGCTTGCACAGATATGAGACGGCTATATCCAACCGGATTATCCAACTTCACACAAACAGCTGTACGTGCCAAGCAGCCTGTCGTCCGTGATCCGCACGTGTTCATGGGACAACACTTCCACAGCAACACAGTGTGGCCGTCCACGCGGCAGGCAGTGTAACAAGAAGCATGCTCCAGGCTCAGGCTGTCCAACCTCCAGGCAAGGCTTCATTGGGATATCACATGCTTCCGAGACCTGCCGATAAGAACGGAGACCGCGTCGACGAAAGAAGTCTTCGTGCTCGCTCTCCCTGTTGCTTTGCATTGCTGTCATCTGGGCGCTGAAGCCGAGGTGATGTAGTCCCACCACAATGCAATTGCCTGGTAGCCGAAGAGCGTCAGGGGAGTCCGCGACTTGCTTATCATCTCTGGTTTTCAAGCTCGTGAGAAAGCACGCATGGGTTTTCGGGCGAATGGTCACCTTGAACTTCGTCTTCGTTTCGATGTGCCGCATGCAGCTGTCACAGATGTCCTGCGGGCAAGGGCTCGCAAGCTTGGAGTCCACACGAATGCCATCAAAATGTAGTGACAAATGCTCTGACTGCAATTCCTCCAACTTTTCCAGCCACGCATCGAGAATCACGTCTTCGGCCACATTCCAGAAGTAAGTCAGGATGGACACCTCCGGACGATCCTTGCACTGCACCAACTGCGTGAAGGCTTCCGGGAAAACGGACGCAGCTGTCCAGCGGCAGAAGATCGACGCGGATTGCAAGTCCAGCAAGAACTTATTGTTGGCATGGGACTGAGGAATACTCCCGCCGTTGAACACCTTTTGCAGCAGGTGCTTGCCTTCCGCTGAGGGGAGGTTCAGGTGCTCGGAGATAACAGTCGCACGAGACACTGCACACATTTCGAGTGTGTTCCGAACCCGTGTCCAAGAATCATGCAGCGGCTCGAGCCGATCCAGCAGCTGCAGCATCAGAACGAAACAGCAGTTGTGTATGTCAAGGTCCAGAGTGTGACGCAGAGCTGCAGCCTGCAAACACTGGCTGAGCCTCTGAACAGCGAACGGCTCTTGAGCGTACCGTCTTGTACGAACGCTGTCCAGCTTGTACTTGTACGCCACCTGGACGTGGACCTGCCCCCCCTGTTGGAAGGGGTTCTCCACTTGCGCTTGCGAACTTCCCGCAGCTGCAGCAGGTGCCGCGGACTTCCTCCTGCGTCGTCTGCTCGGGGTCGAGGCTCGGACATCCTCAGCCTGCGAGGCCACACAGTCAGCTGCTTGCTCCAGATAGTCAAGTAGTGCCTTAGCAGCTCGTTCATTCTCNNTGCAGCTTCTCCCACTGAGATCGCCATTTGGAAGCTTCCTCTTTCTGCAGTGGCAGCGTGTTCCCAACCTGCACTGGGCGACCGCTGTTTGCCTGTCTGTCCAGCCGATTTGCAACAGACTCGAGTGTCTGCAGCAATATCTCCGCCGTCACCTGGCATGCACACGATGCAGGGCTAACTTCACACTCTGCTCTAGCCATGGCAGTCTCCGGGCTGCTACGACGACTATGATCTCACACACAAACTAGCTTCAGAAGATAGAGAGCTGAGCATCACCTACGTCTACCCACATGCACATCACGCACACATCTGGCCTGCCGTGAAGGATTGCCCTCTAGGTGGTCCCAAAAGGCAGAGGCATCGATGCATTCTCGCAAGATGCTTGGACTCGCCGGCTGCTGCAGGGGACATACGTCTTGCAAGCTTCGTTTGCAGCGAATTCGTGGTACATAAAAATCCGGCTCGCATTTCCCCTCGGCAGCGATGAGAAGATTTTGCGCAAGCAGGCCTTCCCACGTTTTCTTGTCGGCGGACAGCTTGGGTTTGGCATTGCGGTCCCACCAGGCTTTACTGAATTTGGACCGGTCGTTGGCAGGGTCCAGTCCGAATACGACGGCTGCTGCGTGCGCCTTCTCCACCGGATCAAGCACCGGCTCATGTCTTCGTGCATCGGCTGGGGCCACAACGGCAATCACCTCATCCGCAGAGTTTGTTGCTCCCTTGTCGACGCGGGGCGACAGGCCGCAAGCTTCCCTCAGTTTATTCTCAGTCACCCCCTTCTCCGCAAAGTCATCGATCAACTGATAGCACTGTGTCTCTGAGTGGCTGCATTCAAAACCATGTTGTTGCTGCAGGGATGCAGCAATGGCGGGCC